CCTCCTCCTCCTCCTCCCCCTCCCCCTCCCCCTCCCCCTCCCCCTCCCCGTCCCTTCCTGCGGGGGCGCCGGCGGAGCTTACGACGACGACGACCACGCGACGGCCATAGCGGCGACAGCGACAACGATGTCGAGGACTACATTCATGACTGCTGTGTCAACGGCGATGACGTTGAGTAACTACACAGCTGGATTCAGGTTTGTATTAAAGGAGTATTCTTTGAACGCCCCGAGCCCAACCCCTTTGCATGTATTCTCAAAACACGCAGTAGTTGTCAGATCGTCCTGGTCGGCACGCCGCACAACGTGCCTGGAGTTGTGCCCCGGCATTACCTGGCTGGTCCTTATCTGGGCCTTGCTTAGCCTCCACCAACCCATTCTGCCACCTTAAAAACACTCAAATCAAAACTCGGAATTGGCCAACGGCCCCTTATCTGCGCCAAAAGGAGGAACAAGATCCGCAGAACAGGGAAAGACTAAGCGACTCCCTACTTTCCGGGCCTTTCCTGCTGAAGCCTGCAAGCTCAGGCAGCTGCAGACAACCCGGTTCCTCGGGCCGTGGCGCGTGTTGTGGCTGCGCTGAAGCCAGACCTGGTGGCTGTTGAGCTGGACGAGGCGGGTAATTATATATGTATATATGTATGTATATCTATATATATATATACATAAGTAGATATATATATATATACATGTAGGTGTGTGTGTATATATATATATGTATGGATGTATGTCTGTATCTGTATACGAGCTAGTTTGTAAGGTATCACCTGCTGGGAGGCGGTAGGGTCTGGGGAGGATAGGCATTGGCTTAAGTACCCTGGGTTTTGTGGGAAATCACCAAGGAGCCTGCGCAGCCACGTTTGAAGGCCCCCACCAACTGGTTGTACCTGACCTGTTGCCAGTCTTCCTCAAGTCAAGGTGCTTCGGCTTACACCGAGGGACCGAAGGAATGGATGTGCGGACTCCCAAGTATTCATTTCTTGATTCTCTACCTGTAAGTGGCAGGGAACCTGAAACCCCAGATGCCGGACGTGGACACAGCCCCCTTGAGCCTGAGCCATCCTTCACTGAATACAGAGTTTACAAGGTATACTGGCACATACTTGTAGATCTAATTAGCAACATTCACCATCTAGGGAGTTTACAGCTACATGACAGGCAATGCGACCGCAGCTTTTAGCGGCAAGTTACTGGGGATTGGGTAGGGACGACTACAGGGATCCATCCCTCTGCTACCTACAAAGGACCAGTAGTAAGCTATGCTGAACACAAAATCCTTTCCAACCCTTGTACTGCCCATCTAGCCCTTCATATAGCTCCTTCTATGGCCTCTACAAAAAAATCCCTTCTATAATCCCTGAAAATATTGTAGATCTCTCTGGGGGAAGGGTGCATGGACAGCGAGGCGCGTGGTGGCCGGGAGTTGGAGACTCTGCCTGACAAGTTGAGAGGCTGCCTTTTTAGCTTGCGAAGGGTGCAGAATTCAGTTTTGGAGTCTTGGAGCCATGATTCATGGCACCCGATTTGGTGGGATCTGGTGGGCCCTGGCATTTGAGGCTCGTTGTTCGAGTTGCACGCTTCTCATTTGGGTTTTAGCTTTCAGGACCCTGCAGGCATTGTGTGGAATCGCAGCATGTAGATCCCTCGTAAAATGCGGGTGCTTTTGCTTTTTGGGTGTGTGTTTTTCTTGGGAAAGAACCTTTTTCAAAGGACAGCCTGCCAGACTCCTTTTCGCCAGCGGTCAGGGTCACAGAGCCGGCTTCCAAACTCCCAAAGCTTGGGTACACAGCAGTACCTGTACTCAAAACTCCTATTATCACTCAGTCCCAGTCCTTTCAAGCCCAAGAATCCGCCACGCAGCCAGGACGCTCAAGCGTCTTCCTGCCACAGCAATCCCAGCCAGGTCTCTTCGAGGCTTCCAGCAAATTCCGCTACATGAGTGTAAGTGTGTTTTCATTTTCTATTCCATTATCCCGACATATCCCTATAATATACTCACTGTGTATCCCAACGGAACCTATATTAACCCAACCCGTTTATGAGGCCCCTTGTAATTGTTGATAGGGTTTTACTGGGGTTCTTGAAGGGCAGTAGGGATTTAAGTTTCCATAAGGGGTTTCAGGCCATCCGAAAGAGACCCACCTATTGTATGATCTTTAAGAATCTGCTTTTGGAGTTCAGTCCATCCTCTCCCGATGCGGGATCGAAAGGGAAGTAGTGTTGCAACATTCAATAGCATTACATAAGATGATGCTTAGTTAGTTTCGTTAAAGCATTCAGTAATTTATTTTTTTTTACAAATTATTATGAAATCAATTTTTTATATGACAATATATGTAGACAAAATTATCGTATCCTTTGATTTAAGCGTAAAAGCGACTGTGAATGTGAAATA